GAAACAAAAAACTATTTTGGGTTTTGTTCTCATGCAGGAAGCGTCAACAATGTGAGCTCAAGACGTGATCATCTACCGTGACATTTGGCGACAAATTAAGACTGCTTTGGATATTTTTCCCGTCATCGTCCGTGTTACAACCTTCGTACACCATCCAAGAAAAATATGGCGAATTCATCGGATCCAAATGATGACTTTTATCTGACGATCATTCAAGACAAGGAATATTGGTTGAGCTTAGCTGTAATTGGGTTTATTTTAGCAATTGTTATCATCGTAGGAAACTCCATTCTCCTGTTTATAACTTACAAGAATCCGCGACGTTCACTTCGTACACCGCCATCTTATTTGATCACGAATCTAAGCGTGTCAGATTTACTTCTGGGATTACTGAATGTCCTCGTCGTCGCTGTGAGAGATGTCTACAGATTTCAACTACAACAGATACCGTCTGCGATGCTTTTTAGAGCAGTTATATACACTGTTGTTACGACCACTTTGTTCGTAAGCTCCTATTCGATTATAGCCATGTCGCTAACTTGTGACATCGCAATCAGCAAGCCGATGGAATACAAATCCATTATTACTAAGCGAAGGACCAAGATTTTTATAGCTGTGTTGTGGTTGATATCGTTAACAACGTGCGTTCTTCCTGTGACAAATGTTTCGGAGGAAACGTATACGTTAATTTATCTGCACACTCACGCCACTCTGCCGGCCATTTTATTGACGGTCATATATGTACATGTGTTTCGCGCGCTTGGTAAAAGAACTCGCGAACTGCAAGAAGGTGGTTACAACTCGATAGCTGCAAACTCATTGGAAAGGAAGCGTGGTATGGCTGTTACGATCATTGTCATTCTCGTGTTGTTTTACATCACGTATATACCTCAGTATATCACTTTACATTTACTGTACTTCTGCGAATCGTGTAAAGACTCTAAAACTTTCCACATGATTGACGTGGCTTTGTCTCGCTTTTTGTATATTAATTCTGCCGTGAATCCCTTTGTTTACGCCTGGAGGGTTCCTAAATATCGCCGAGCTTTTAGTGACTGCTGGCAGATGTGCATTGGTAGGCATGTTGCTGACGGACCGAGCTCATATATATCCACGTTTCGCTCCACAAGAAGACAAACTGAGATAAATGGCGTAAGCCCAAATATTGGACGGAATAAGCCCCGCGGTTTAAGCGACCCATCTGAAATGACCAGTCAGTTTTAGAATATAAGCTGAAGAAAAAAAGGATCCCATATGTTGACAAGAAGTCTGTGTCGAAAGGATCTCATTGCTGTAGATCAACGAAAGAGTATCCGGCAGGAAACTTTAATGCAATTTTCAAGCTCTTCAATTCAATCCGTTCCATTCCATCCTCAGCCATTAGTAAGCTATCTCTGTAAAATAACGATTCTGTTGTGTTTTTCTTTCTTACAGAACTAACATTTCCCAATATTCTTTAAGTTGTGGCAAATGTATACGATGCTTATATAATTTAAAACTATTTATATGCCGTTTCCTCTAGTAGAATAAAATAAAAACTGAAAAGCAAAGTTAAGTTCGTGTCAATCTAGTGGCTAAAAGCCAAGATTTATCTAAGGTTCAAAGGGATTTTAGTTTGTCAAAATAATACTAATCAATTGTATCTGTCGTGTAAATAATTCTTGAACAACTTTAGTGGACAATATTTTACCTGAGATATAGAACACGCACTGACCTAAAAATACGAATTCATTTTGGCTTGAAGCAGTTATTTTAGAAACATATGGTTGATAAACTCTAGTATAGTGGTTATATGATAGAAAGTTAAAAAAAAAATAGCCTGTGGCCAACAACTTCAGATTACATTAAATTCCTTGGCCTTTCACTTCGTCACGGTGTGCAAATACAATAAAACCCTCCTACTGTATACCTGTGGAGAGTCTGGGTGACATTTCCAAATGCAGAGCGGACTAAACTTATATTTTTCAAGGAACTATGTGGGCATAAATTTCTAAAGAGGGTTATTGAAACGGATATTTGGTCTTGTTCAACACAGCTAATATTGTGCTCTGTGATGAAATGCACCAGACTGGAACATGATATCTTAAGAGTCACTCTACCTAACCACCGCGTAAGCGGCGGCACAAGGTCGGAGAAATAGCCCCCTCGATATTTCGTCCAGAGATAACCTCTAGTATGCTAACAATCGTGATATGAGTCTTAGGTTCTAGTGTTTTTACAGTTTTGAGGAAATTACGAAAAACCGTCGACCACCCGTGAAGCCGAAAAATCACAGAAATGAGGTCAAATTTCATGATCAGATAATCTAACTCGCGTGAAGGCGCATAGCAAATTATGGTTTTCCTTAGTTTGTAATTTTATAAATTGATTAGCTGCATAAAACATGATTGGCTTCATATTTTAAACACCATTTTATAAAAAAATAGTAGATTTTATAAAAAAAATAGTAGCTGAATATGGGCTGTAATGGCACTCCATAAACATCTCAAAATATACTCGGTATTATGTAGAATTCTTTCAAAATTAAATTCTGGCAAGTACAAGAGCTGTTTTTGACCGTGATGTAAATTTTTTCTTAGTAAAAGTTATTTCTGAGGCGAGCGGCCCCATGCAAGTTGATCCAATTCAGTTGACCTTTCGAAGAGATTTTGTTTCACCAGGAAATGTAAACAATTCGACTAGCCTTAGCTCGCTTTCTGAGCAAACCATTGAAAAACCCTGCTATTTCCCATTAAAACTGCCCAGTAAACCTGGGATAATACTTCGATGACAGCTTACCTTCCAAATAGGTGTTTGAAGGCTAATAACGTTGATGTTTTTCGCTCATTTTCCTGTGTTTTGCTGCCCTGCTCAGCCACCGGCCTTTTCATACGGCTACGGCATTTTCTAAGTGTCACCTTTAGTTTCTCTGCTTTGTGCAATATTTTTGCGGGACCTGGATCCAAGTCTTGCATATAAAGCCTCCTCTGGGTACCTATTGAGTTTTGTATTTAATGTTTTTAATGAAAAGAGGCAAGAAGTGAAGGAACTGAAAAATAGACCTAGATCGATGTCACGCAATCTTTACTTCTAAGTGATCACGTGCCGCAAATACATCAGCGTGGATATTTTTTGTCTTTCTTTTGCTTATTTCTTCATTTTCTTCCTTACTAGCATAAAATGTTTTCGTTTTGTTTTTTTTTTTTTTGTTATCACAAGCCTATTTTGAAGGAGAGTTCTTTGTATGCAATACTTTGTATATACACGCAACACATTTACTTTTCCCATTTTTTAGTGACTGCGACAAACTAGAAATCCTATCTAGTTTTAGCTCCTAAATTCAAATATCTGGGCAGGTCCATTGCTAATGATCTCCCAAAGCTAGATAAAAGGGAATACTAATATATATCTGAAAAAGTTACTGGCCGCAAAGCGAGTTTTTGTAATTTGTATTCAATATGTTTACCAATTTGCCCATGGCAGGTGGACAATAGGTCCTCTTCGTGGTACATCTAACTTTTTAGGAATTATATTCAACAAGTTACCTTTCGATGCAGAAGAAGACGCACGCTTTTATATGATTCTCTGAAAAATATCCCTTTGGAAACTGAAAATTATTTGCTTTTGGGTTCGCACAAGACATGTTTCTTTTCGTACGACTATAGAGCACGTAAAACTGTTTTGACGGTTGCCATCGAGAGATCTAAGTTTAAAACAGATAATTACCAAACGCAAATAGATCTGTGGCAAACGCTTTGTCTACCTCTCAAAAATTTCGAAATATAGAATTCTCACAGAGTTCGAGCTGTTATCTTTTAAAATCTAAGTTGTCGATCGCTTGCCCAATAAGCGAAGCTAGCACGTGCGAGGCTCCTAACTTTTTCTTAAATTCAGCAAACCATATTACGCGGATAAACTCCACTGGATTAAAATCTTTACAACTTAAACAGTTTTTTTCAGGTCTGTTAAAGTGTATAGTGTAACTTGAGCACCTGAGCTTACCCTTTTGAGCAAGTGCGCTGTGTCTGTTCGGATATCGGTTCAAGGCCTCGATTATGTTAGTACTGCAGGTGCGGAAGCATTTGACGATCTGTGTGATGTTGTTGAAACCCTTGAAGATGTAGGACAAGGCATGGGATGGGCGAAACAGCAGGAAAATAATCTACGTGCAAGCAAGTGGTACCTTAAAAGCGACTTTAAGGTGGGTGTGACCCGCGCTAGGCAGATACCCCTATACTTCTCTATGTCACTCGCCCCAAATCTTTGTCTTGCGCGTTCAATATGGCATCTGCGATCACACACTCCCAGTTTTCCGAGTTAAAAAACACCCTCTACCACCTTCTAGCAGTTTAATCGAAATACCACTAAATAAGATCATTTCTATTGTTTTTTTTTCTGTTCAGTTGGCGCTATTTACCACTAAATTTTTGTCAGTTTCATGGTTCCACTGTCCGGCACTGATTATTAGAAAGGACTAACTCAAAGGGCGTGCCAATCGGTCCATACAGAACATATGATAACAAAATGTTAGAGCGGATTTCACTTGACTGTTGCAGAAATAACCGCTAATAATATTCCTCAGCCAACTAGGAGCGGAACCCATTAAACAACAAAACAATCAGGAGGCGAAATATGTCTGACTTGCGTTTAGTATTGACATGAGTAAACGTGCGTTTGGGTTTGGTTCACCATTTGATTGGCTCACCGACAAGAATAATTATAAGCCACTCAATCAATAGGACAGCGAAGTGAGGGTAAGTCTGACAGGCATGTGAAATCCTCTCTATCTTTCTGCCTTTTACTCTTGAAAGCAGCGCTTCTTAATTATAACTTTTTTAAAAGGTTTATTGCAGGTCCACGTTTCCCAGAGTTCTACAGTAGCGGATCACTGCAAGTCATTCGCTTTAAGCGACCCGAAGGCATCTTCGTTCCAGGCCACATGTGATCACATGTGATCACAATGTGAGCGCTGCGCTACATTGGCGTCAACTCTAAATGATATCGTGGAAGGTTTGGTTGCGCAAAGTCAAAACACGACATCCAACACGAAGCAAGAACTTGTTTTCCGAGTCAAGATTGCAAAGACCGTTATATTGGCGTGGAAGTCTCACCTCCTCCGTTCCGTCAATCAGGATGGAGCCAGAGTACAGCTTTTGGAAGTGATTGATGATTCGTCTGTTTTAATTCTTCAAGATTGAGCAATGAAATATCTTGCACGGAAGTATAGAGAAAGTCAGACCGATTGGTTCGGTAAACGCGGGATCCCATGGCATTTGACAGTTGCCACAGGACGAGAGAGAGGGGAGTTGCAGATGCTAACGTTCGCACACAACACGACCAAGTTATCGGCTGCAAAGCTAAGAGACATTTTGCGCCGGGCTTGACATTGCTGTTGATGTAGCCATCAAACGTAAACAGCCCTATGCAGACAAAATTGAGGAGTACTGTCCCGTCCCCCGGTTAGCTCAATTGGTTAGAGCGCCGGATCGCATTGTGCGGGAGTTCGAGAGTTCAAGCCCCGGCCGGACCAATACTCGTAGTCTTAAAAATAACTGAGGAGAATTTGCTACCTTTCTATAATATCAAGAAATGGATAGAGATTCTAGTCTTCTCTAAAAAGGACGAATAAACCGTAGGCCCCGTCTCCTACAGGGTTAGGGGTAGGAGACGTTAATTTCCCAAGCACGAGATTACTGTGTGGTGGATATCCTCCCCTGGGGTGGGATGGCTCGGGCACAGTGTTGTAAGAATGGCCCTGAAAAGCCCTATGGGGGAGTGGTCAATCAACGTATGTATGTATGTATGTATGTATGTACTGTCAAAAATGTCGCTGCAAAGCGGATAAGTAAAGACTAAAGTTAGCACAAGGGTGGAGTAGGGGAATGGGGGGAGGGTGATCATAGGGATACGTTCTTCAGTATCACGACCCAAACACCACGCCAAACCCTAGCGTACGTCAGTCGTGGGAGCACTGTATGGATTGACTTTCTTCTTAAAATCCATGTCACTAAAATGCTACAGAAAATTTATATACGTTTGCGCTCAGCAGAAAATTTGTTTACCGGCTTGCGCCCGCGCATTTCTATTTTCAAAATCTTCCAGTCCTCCCCCTCCCCCACCCCTTTAAAAATAATGGAATGGGCCGTCCTTTACCCCAAATAAATTTGTTTTTACTCCCTTTAAATTCAAAGTTAGCACAAAGGTGGGGTAGGGGACTAGGGGGAGTGAATAGGGTGTGGTTACGAACTTTAAGTTATTTTCCACCACCCACTGGGCTGAGCAATAGCTGAGTGCGCTAAGGAGAAAACGAGAAGTTGTCCCGTTTTAACTAGAAAGAAAAACGTATTTTGAGCAAAAGCAATTACTGAATTACTATTTAAATATTTGGAACAAAAGACTTGAAAAAGTCTGTAATGGTGGGAAATCTCAATTAAATTGTTACAGTGGCCATGTAATGAACCGTTAAATGCACTGCGTGCAACATTGCATCGGAAAACTTCTTTCCCCCTCCCCCGTCAAAAAAAATTAATCACCTAGTCTGGAAGTGACGAAGGAAAGATTGCGTTACACTCACTAGACGGAGGTTTACGTTTTGCGCTTACGAATTTTTTTTATTATACGAGAAACTAAATGAATATCAAGAGGTTGCTCACTGAGAGGTAGATATTGCAACTTCTGGATTGATTTTCCGGAAAAGTGTTGCACAAGCTTTGCCTGGAACAGGCGTACAAGCTCGATGTCAAGATATGACCCTAACTTATCAGTAAAACGTGTCAACAAAGCAATGGAAAAATTAACTGAGAACGTCAAAATTATTTGCCTTCAAAGAGCCATTTGGAAGGTAAGCTGTCATCGAAGTATTATCTCCGGTTTACTGGGCAGTTTTAATGGGAAATAGCAGGGTTTTTCAATGGTTTGCTCAGAAAGCGAGCTAAGGCTAGTCGAATTGTTTACATTTCCTGGTGAATCAAAATCTCTTCGAAAGGTCAAATTGGGTCAACTTACCTGGGGCAGCTCGCCTCAGAAATAACTTTTGCCAAGAAAATAAATTATATCTCGGTCCAAAACAGCTCTTGTACTCACTAGAATTTAATATTGAAAGAATTCTACATAATACCGAGTATATTTTGAGATGTTTGTAAACGGTATGGAATTTTTGACTTTCAGAGCCTAGAAATTTCGGTTCTCTTCGCTCGCTCTCCAGGAATTCGGAATTACTATTGTAATATCATCAAGGCAGCTTAGCAATACCTCCTAGGTAAATTATAAACTAAGGAAAACCACAATTTGTTAGGCGCCTTCACGCGAGTTCGATTATCTGATCATGAAATTTGGCCTCCTTTCTGTTATTTTTTGGCTTCACGGGTGGTCGACGGTTTTTCGTAATTTTCTCAAAAATTAAAAACTCTAGAACCTAAGACTTATATCACGATTCTTAGCATACCATAGGTTATCTCTAGACGAGATATCGAGGGGTCCATTTTTCCGACCTTGTGCCACATTTTTTCAATGTCACTCGGTCCCTATACAGAGTCGCTCTTAAGAGGTCTCAAGTAGTCTACAACCAAAGGTGGACTATCAATAACAGTTGCAATAGCATATTTTCAAACATTCCAGAATCATATTGTACGAGGTATGTGCCCCAACTGGATTAGGAGAAGGATTTTTAAGCTGTCTTAGTCTGGAAAAGAAAATAGATTTTCACCATTTTTCTCTTAAATCGGTAGCTGATAAGACCTCATGTAACACCCTTACGATTTCTTAATCAGTTTTATTTATTGCCTAGTCCCCACGTATATGGTCGTATCTGGGCAACTAACTTGGAGTCGATACTAAAAAGCATTTGTTTTACGTTCGAGTCTCAATCTATTTAATCACCAGAATTTTCAAAAGGACCAAAAAATTACTGTTTTCGAAAAAACAACAATAAAAAAAAGGAAATACATACCCATAAAAATAGTTAATAGATTGCGGTGTATTTGTAGAGACTGGGCAGTATTCGTTCCAGTCTCCCTCTACGTTTGTTGTGAGGTTGTCGAGCAATGCCATGTGCTCGTGAGTTGAAAATATATTTAAACCTTCTCCCTCGTTGAATACGCTTCAGTGGCGACGAGGATTCCCAAAACCCACGCGTGGGCTTTAAAGACAACTCTGTCCAGCGTAGAGCTATTCGGAAATACGTTCGAGAAGTCCAAAACGACTACATTTCACTGAAGAAAGTGTCGGGAGAATGGCAGGCAGACCTCCTTTCAACGAGTTCGACGCTGAAACCGAAGACATCGAGAGTTATTTGGAGCGTCTTCAAGAGTACTTCACGGCTTATGACATCAATGATGATGAGGATAACGCAGCCAAACGCAGGGCGATCTTACTGACGTCGATTGGGAGCACTTCGTACAGAGTATTGAAAGATTTAGCGTTCCCGGATGCCCCCAACACGAAAACATTTGATCAGCTGGCGACACTCCTTCGTGCACATTTTAGGCCTACGCGTTTGACGGTAGCAGAAAGATATCGGTTCCACTCAGCTTGTCAAAAACCAAGTCAGTCAATCTCTGAGTATGTGCGAACTTTAAAAAAACTCGCAGGGACGTGCGAATTCACAAATGAGCAACTGAATGAAAGTTTACGCGATCGATTTATTTGTGGATTGCACTCGGAACAAATCAAGCAGAAACTTTTATCGCGAAACTTTACGTTCCAAGAGGCGGTGGACACTGCTATTGCACAAGAAGCTGCACACAAGGACGTTCGTAATCTTGGAGGTTCACACGGAGAAGAATCCGACGAACGTGTCAACAAAGTCCAGCGTGACAA